AACATTATCAAGAAGAAAAGTTGTTTCTCAATGCAAATGATCAAAGATAAACACACAGAGAAGTTTTTTGTCTCATGTCAGAAATCTTTCGATGTGGTCGTACTTTACATGTTGGTTTCTGAATGATTTTTCAAAACCTGAAAGCATCACCAGCATTAGAGACCTGATGTTTGTTTAATATTCAAATGAATCAGATTCAATCAAATTTTCGTCTAGCTCCATGTCCCCGCTGCACTGACTCGACCCCAAGTTTGGGAACCATTAGATTAGCGAATGGACAGACAATGAATCAACAGATGATTTATTAAAAATGCAGAACATTTATACATTCCAGCTTCTACAATGGGCAGCAACCCTCTCTCATATCAGTATAAACTGAATTCTTTGTTTTTTTAACTCTTGTTCAGACAAGTCATCTTCCAATTTCCTACATGTCTGCTGCAAACTTGGAATAAAATCGATCAATAATTTTTATCGACAATAACAACAACTGTCAGCAGTCATTAGTTGCAGCCTGGCATTTAGTCACTACTCTCACTAGAGAAATTTGAAAAATGTAAAGTATTTTAACAACAACGTCCCAGACCCCTTTCAAACGCCGCCGTTCCCTCTGAGGTCCGACGAACAACATTACAAAGGTATTCATAACATCCAAAGCTTGGCACATGAAGTTGTAATTAGTTTTTACACTTGTAAAGCTGTCATTTGATTTCATTTTGAGACCAAAACGTTCAGCGATGTGATTGCATGCATGATTTAGTGTGAAAATAGCTCTCTGTACGTGCATCTGCTTGTCTGCCAGACACGTCTTTGAGACTCAAAATGCTTGGACCTGCAGTTTGTAGTTTTCCTGCACCCCGGAGCTACAAAAAGCTTTTGGTTTGATGTCGATGTTGGCAGCAGTTCGCCAGTTACCAGTAAAGGCTGCAGAAGCGGGCATGGTAGATGATAAAGATATCCTCAGCCAGGAGCTAGCTGCTACTTGAACAGACGGGGTGTGTTCAGAACAAAAGTTAGAAACTTTAAACCAACACCCTGAGGTAGTGATTTATAGTTAGTTAATGACTGCCGTAATGCGAATAATGGGATTGTTAATATGTCTTCTTCGTGATTTGTTCATCTCAAGACCAACTAAATCATTTTAACAGATTATCAGTTTAAGAAGCTTGACGTAGGACATTTGTGTAATTCTCCCATATATACTCTGCAGTGGGTGTGTTACGTTTGAAAAGAACGCCATCATTTTGTGATAAAAATGATTAAGTGTTTGCAGAAACTATGATCTGAGTTCTTACTCACAGCGACAGAGTAATTTACTTTTAGTCACATCAACGCTCATTCATTGTCAATTAGAGTATTCTTTAAATAGCCAAATTTGACTGACTTTCATTCTCTCGTGCAAGTCAATGTGAATTCATGTAACCGTGCATATTACTTTCTTCATAATAACAGTCATTTCCCCCAAATTATACAAATAAGTGATTTTTTTAGGCACAATTGTAGCTCAGTGTTATTTCTGTGGTGTTGGTGATGTTGCTCTAGAGAAACAAAGAACAAAGAGTGTACAGTGGAAACTGTTAACCTAACTAATTAGACTGTTGGCGGACACAGTTCTCCTCTTCCTGTCGAAGCCTAGTTCCCATTTTTGGCATATTATTCATCAAGAAAAGATACAAAACACGTTGAAAGCAAGACCACCTTTCTTCAGCTGATTTAAGTTGAATTTGTCCTGAGTGACAGGATACTATTGTGATTCCGTTTGGGCATAAAAGTAAAGTAAAATGCTGAATAGTGTACCACATTAATATCTTGTCAGGCACTAGTGTAATGTTTGCTGTTGGGCATGCTCGAGCTAGCCAGTTGTGTGGGATTATGACGGGGGACATCAGAGACGCTGCTTTTTGTTATACCATGCAAATGGAAATGCCTTATCATGTTAGACCGACTTCCTTTATTTCATGAAATTATTTTCCGACTGAGATCACGTTTTGCTGTATCATTACTGTCTTTGGTGAAGCTTAGCACCACATTTGTGCCAGCTCTGGTCAGCCATGTGGTTATACTGTATGTGTTTACTATTTGTTTACTGTGTTTTTCGCTATGCATGTGTAACCACCAATGGGTGTGTTTTCTTTTAAAGTTCCTTTTAAGTCGATGAGAACTGACTTTACTTTGCCTTGATTTATGTTTGTAGCATCCCTGCTTGCTGTGATCAACAGTGACCGTCTTTCTCTCTAGCCTTTGCTTACAGGTAGAGCTGAAATAATCAACAGAAAATGTGTTTGTTTTTTAGTGTAAACTGAATCCCTGTTGGATTTCGGACTGTTCAGTGGGGAATTGTGATTTGATGTGAACTGTTCTTTGACATTTTAAAGACCAACGATTTAATGAAACAAAATTAGAGATTTAAAATTAGAGATTAGATTAGATAAGTAATCAAAATGATTAGTTATTTGCTTCTTGCAGGTAACTCAAACCTGTTCCAGGCACCTTCATTCGTGTTAGGTAATATACCGGATTGAAATTTACTGCTAACTATGGATTTTCCATATAACATTATACCGGTGCATTGCTGAAGCAACTGCTTTAACTCAATTGTTTCCTTTGCAATAAAACATTTGAGAAATTCCATGTCAGTTTAGTTTAGTGTTTATACAACTATATTAA